TGAAAAATAAGTAGTAGCTATTTCAAAAGAGCAGAAGAAATCTTATGCTTTTTGAACAAAAAGAATTTTAGTTGCTAATCTGTTAATCTGTTGCTAAGAGATGAGTGTGTTTACTGGTAACCAAGTGCCACGAAGTGAACATCTGATTTTTACTTTTGCAAAATTTGCCAACGGTAAATGTCTTGTATCTAATCAGGTAAGCTTTATTTCGAAAGAGCTTATGTTTTATAAACTCTATAACTTGTTTTTCATTTTGCGTTACGAGATAAGCGGCCTTTTTCTGGTAACGAACTGTCACTAAGTATAAATGGAGATTTTTACTTTTGTGTTGAATGTGTGTTTAATATATTTACCACTATTGACAAAAAAAATAACTTTTCTGCCAAATTCACCAACTGCACAATTCTTGTTAGTGTAAAATAAGCAGAATTTCAAAAGAGCAGAAGAAATCTTATGCTTTTTGAACAAAAAGAATTTTAGTTGCTAATCTGTTAATCTGTTGCTAAGAGATGATCGCGTTTTCTGGTAACCAAGGTCCACAAAGTTCCACAAAGTAAAATTCTGATTTTCACTTTTGCAAAATTTACCAACTGTAAATTTCTTGTGTCTAAGCAGAGAAGAAGTATTTTGAAAGAGCTTATGTTTTATAAACAATATTACTTATTGTTAATTTGGTGTTAAGAGATAAGCGGGTTTTTTCTGGTAACGAACTGCCACGAAGTCCTAATGGAGATTTTTACTTTTGTGTTGAATGTCTGTTGAATCACACACACACACACACACATATATATATATATATATATATATATATATATATATATATATATATATATATATATATATGAATAAAATTTCATTCTCACCCTTCCACAGGTGGACTCTTTAATCCTCTGAGCTCCGGTCCTCTACTAGACCTCTACTAGAAGCCTGGGAGCCGCAGAATCTTGGCTGTGCCTAAAACTGCACATTTCCAGACTGAGATGTCTGATGCTGCTCCTGGGATCTGTTTTAGACACTGCTCCAGTTTGGGGATGACTGCCCCGAGGGCCCCAATGACCACAGGCACAGGGCCACAGGCGTAGGGACCACAGGTGGTCCCTGTGCTCCTCGGCCCTGTATACACAGGGTGAATCCTAGCAACCTGCGGCCTCTTTACTGGGAGTACCGGACGTCAGCTGCTGGTGTAGACCTGCCGATTTCTGCCGGGATCGGTTTGGTAAATGCCAGGTCGCTGACAAATAAAACTTTCGTAATTAAGGATTTCTTTTCCTCTCGTTGATTGGATGTTTTATTTATAATAGAATCATTGACAAGTGGTTTGGGTGACTCCAGCATTTTTAATTAACTTGTACCGTGGAACTGCGACTATTTTAATGCTCCAAGGATGTTGGGGTCCAGTAGAGGTATAGTGACTGTTTTTAAAAGCTGTTTTACATGTAAACAGTTGCCTCTGGCCTTGTTTATTAGCTTTGATATTAGCCTATTTGAACTCAGCAGCTCTCACACTGTGCTGTGTGCTGCGGTCTATCGGCCACCAAAGTACAACAAAAACTTTATAAATGACCTTTCTGATTTCTTGGCTGATATCATGCCAAGGCATGACTGAGTTCTCATTGTTGGTGATTTTAATATTCATGTCTGTTGTCCTACTTCACCTATGGCTCAGTCATTTCTTAATGTTATCGATTCTTTTAATTTTGTGCAGTCTGTGACTGGTGCAACCCCTGAGCATGGTCACAGTCTTGATCTGGTTTTATCTTCTGGTCTTCCAGTTTGTAATTTAGTGATTGGTGACTCATTATTTTCAGACCATATGCCTGTTTTATGTGAGATAACGCTGTCCTGTGCTAAAGCTAAAGCACGCGCTGCAGCTCGGTGCTGTCGTGTTCTTAACCCTTTAACTGCTGGTCAGTGTTCTTCTGTTTTTAATCAATTTAGTGGTGTATGAAGTGCTTCATAAATAAAGTTGGTATGGTATGGCACTGTGGTCTT